TATTCTATGCGTTAGATATGCATGCTGCAGATATTCCATCAGTTTAAGTTGCCATTCTTCTTTAGTTGGGACCTCGCTCGTTTTCCATTTAATACCTGTGTGATTTTATAATCCATATATTGCTAATATGGAATTCGAAACACAGGTGGCTGCTGAGACAATTCACTAAACCACAGGGTGCCACAGGTTGGTGATTGGAGATGGGGCTATGCATTGTGGGTGATGATGGAGGCATAGGGAGTTAGAGCTGGCACACTGCAAGTCATCCTGTGGTGGACACAGGCTACTGATGTCATTGGGACAACCATCCAATCTGGCAACATGCTGGCTGCAATATCCCACACCTCTGCCTACTGGCATCTAAAGGTAATTACAGGAAGGTCCCTCCAACCTCTATAGTCATGCTGCAGTAGCCTGCAATTTCACCTAGCAAACTGCCTCACTGGCTACAGCTTACTCCGAGCCTCGCCAGCTCACATGACCCAAAGGGGCCGCTTTGTCATCTGCAGCTGAAAAAAAATAGTGTTATGTTCAAGTGTCTAGTTGAAAGCCATTAGCTCATGTGATGAAAACCACTTGGAGTGAAGCTGTTAGATAATAGAGTTAACCCTGACAGATGGCCTACTCTTGCACTCCTGTGGGTATAATTTTAGGAGCAAGGAGGCCAATTATATCCCTAGTGGTCCACCAATGGGAAACATGGCATTTTGCCTCACTCCAGAGAGCCTCTTTTTGATTCAACGCAGATGCTGATGCTGTGTCACTCTTGACATGCAATGTGCCACTTCAAATAAATGTCCTTCTCAAGAGCTTCTCGGGTTCATGGAATACTGTGGAAAACATCAAATTAGGCTCTTTTCTAACATTAGCGTTGTAATTCTTAGCCACCTACCCTTCATGATTTCAGATCACGGGGATCATGGAGAGATGTAAGCAGGAAGGGGCTGTGGGTGCCATGTAGGTACTGAAATTTGTGGTGCCCGGCTGGAATTTTGTGGGTGCTCGGGCACCCAGGGCCCCAGGGAGTTGGCACCTATGCTACTTGTGTAATAAGAGCAGAGAGGGCAAGAAACCTGGAGGCAGACACATTTTGGGGGCAAAGTCCTCTGCAGTGCACCAAGAAGCAGCATGAGGCTCCCATGATAGTCTTGCTCCACCATCCCTCTGTACTGCTAGACTGGCCATCTAGCCAGGCAGTGTAGTGGTTAAGAGCGGTGGACTCGTAATCTGGTGAACCGGGTTTGATTCCCCGCTCCTCCACATGCAGCTGCTGGGTGACCTTGGGCCAGTCATACTTCTCTGAAGTCTCTCAGCCTCACTTACCTCACAGAGTGTTTGTTGTGAGGGAGGAAGGGAAAGGAGATTGTTAGTCGCTTTGAGACTCCTTAGGGTAGTGATAAAGCGGGATATCAAATCCAAACTCTTCTTCTTCTTCTTTTGGAAACTATAACTCTGCAGAGCATGCAAGAATCTGCTGTAAGATTGAGAATTTAATTAATACATAGCCTTTGGAAACTGGTCCTTGGTCTCTGTGCACTCATGCACTGATTCCAGGTTGCATTCATGGAGCTGGTGACGCTGTGGTCTAAACCACTGAGCCTTTTGGGTTTGTTGGTTGGAAGGTTGGCGGTTTGAATCCCCATAACAATGTGAGCTCCCATTGCTCTGACCCAGTTCCTGCCAACCTAGCAGTTCAGAAGCATACCGGTGAAAGTAGATAAATAGGTACCGCTGTGGCGGGAAGGTAAACAGTGTTTCCATGCACTCTGGTTTCCGTCACGGTGTTCCATTGTGCCAGAAGCAGTTAAGTCATGCTGGTCACATAACCTGGAAAGCTGTCTGTGGATGAACACCGGCTCCCTCGGCCTGAAGTGAGATGAGCACCGCAACCCCTTTGACCGGACTTAACCATTCAGGGGTTAACCTTTTTACCTACCTCTCCCCCTGTATTGCCCACCCCTTAATAAACCTGTGATTGCCAAAATCAAGGCAGCAGCAGGAGTTACTGCATATTTGCAAGGGACCCTTGGCACAAGTCTTAGAAATGACTACAGTGGTGCCTCGGGTTACATACGCTTCAGGTTACAGACTCCGCTAACCCAGAAATATTACCTCGGGTTAAGAACTTTGCTTCTGGATGGCAAAAGAAATTGTGCAGCGGCGGTGCAGCGGCAGCAGGAGGCCCCATTAGCTAAAACGGTGCTTCAGGTTAAGAACAGTTTCAGGTTAAGAACGGACCTCCAGAATGAATTAAGTTCTTAACCCAAGGTATATATATATATCAATATATATCAGCTCATAAGTCAGGGTGATTAGTGTGATTTGACACTTAACTCTTCATTCCTTGTTGATAGAATTAAAGTTTAGCTTCTGCTGGCATTCTGGAAAGGGTAATAAGCATCACAACGGAGGACTCTAATGCGCCGTAGGAGTCTGAAGCTTCAACTTCTGTGTCCATTCAATGCCTACATCTGAGCTCCATAGCTCTCTAAGTTACAGCCCTTCTGCTACCAGGCTCACAAGACCCTACCCCACCATGTTTGGCAATAATGAAAAGAGATTTACTTTTATTGAAAAAAGTATTAATGGTATTTAGAGATCCCACTGGAGCAGTCATGCAGTTTCTGGCAGAGTTCCCTCATCATCTAGTTAATCGCTTTAGTTTCATAAATTGTTGACCTGGAGATATCTTCAAGCGGAGGTAGATGGAATTAATTTCCCTTCTAATCTTTGATTAAACAGGCCAATAATTTACTTGGGTTGCCTCGTGATTTATAAGGGTTGTATCAGGGAAGCAGAAAGGGATAAAGATAGGTAATGAAACTGTTTTAGTGAAATTGTTTTATATATATATATATATCCAGATTATGATTGCTCGCCACCAAAATCATATTTGCAGTGCTGAGAATTTTGCAGCGTCGTGAGCCAATGATAGATAAATAGGCACATGCTTCTTAATCAGACATTAAGCCTAATGGTACACAATTTAGTTCGTCTGTGATGATGAAAGGTATAGTTTATCCCATTAACTAGGTTTTCGGAAATGCACAGAGATAAATGTTAATCCAGTTATTGGAATGCCATGACTTTTCCTCAAGACTGTCACTCTCTCTGTGTGCGTATACATGCACATACTGCATGTATCTGTGCTTTTAAAGCAGGTTTTTTTCCTATAGAGCAGTCCAAAGAAACCAGTGAATCTAATAAATTCTGCTCCACTTTGAATGAAATAGTATAAACAGAGGTCCTAACAGCCTCATCTTAGAAATAAACAATGCAATATACTGGTTCTAGGAAAGAAACTGGTAGCTACAGAGAGTGTTTCTTCTTTACTCATGTGAAATATTTAGAGTCTAAGCTTTTACACCTCTGAATTCAATGGGACTTACTCTTTAAAAAACGTATATAGAGCCCAAGACTTTACTGCTTAAATTCACTTACCGCCACATACGCTCAGGTCTGCAAGGTGACTGAAGGTGACGTCCGAATCAAATGGCTACGTTAGCATTATTAAAAGCTTAAGGTAGCCATCATGTCCCCAAAGAAAAAAATCCCAAATCCAAATTAGGGCAATACCTTTATTAGGCCGACTAAAATAACACACAATAGCATGCAAGCTTTTGAGTTTGGTCAAGCATAAGTAATCCAGATTTTAGAATTTTCATTCTTGTATTTCTGAGAGTTGTAAAAACAACACAATTGACTTAATAGAGGATTTATTCACTCACACCCCCACTTTCCAGCAGCATCGGGCTTCTTGCAACAGAGAAAAACAGAACCCTGATTGAGAGTGTGCTGGTGAAGGGAGCTATCCTTTGGTGACTGTAGTAGCTGTCAGAACAAAGAGCTGCCACAGTCATCTGGAGGCTTCTGGCTTTGAAAAGACTCATTCACAAGATCTGTTTCCCCTGTTTCCTTTTGTATATGCTGAATTTCATTTCCTCATCCAACCTTCAATCTCTTTTCTTTCTTTACATAACCACTAGTTAAGAGAATTTGGGAGAAAGCTTCAATGCAGCTTTGAAAAATCTCGTTTGTTTTAATTCTGGAGATAATTTGAGCAGTATTTGCAATATAGCATCAATTATTTAAGAAAGGGGCTTTGAAGATGTTTTGATCTTCAGTGCATTGCACTTCAGCAGGGGAAAATTTACAGATTTCTTAAAAGTTTAAAAGAAAATGACCAAACAAAAAAACCCAAACCCAAACCCAAACAGAGGAGTTGCTTCCACTGTGGTATTTAAAACTCTGCTCTGGGCAGAACTAGCAACAGTACAGTAAAAAAAATGAAGAACACATTTTGTTCCTGTGAAGAAACTCACACAGAGAACACCTTTAGTTCTTGTGAAGGTGTTAAATGTTGTGTTTGCATGCGCACACACTTGAAAACAAATGTGCTTTGCTAACCCTAACTAAATTTCACCAAACATTTTCATGCTGAAATGCTTGCAATCAAACCTTCGTGAGTAACTGCAGGTCTCCCACTCTGACAGGGAGGAAAAATGTTGCCAGCCTCAAAGCAACTCTCTCTCTCTCTCTCTCTCTCATGTATTCTTGCAGTGGGTGTTTCTTAAATTGCCAGTGCCGTTAGTTTTGAAGTCTCCTTTGCACATTGCACCAAGCTGAGCTTGGGAGGGATGCTTCCAGTAACTAAACGGCTCCTTGTCATCAATTAACCGCATGCATTCTGTCAGTTAATGGTCTTGTAGCACCATCATTTACTTTAGAATACTTCCCCCAGAGTCCCTCAGGGATGCATTCTGGTTTTGCCAGACAGGCAGCAAATGCACATAATTATTGATCACTGCTGTGCTGATTGCTTAACTGAGAAATCTACGAAAAGCTACGTCAGTTTGAAGTGAGAAGTCTGACTGGAATTATTGAGAGGAATCATTTTCGGCTAAGGGTGGTGTTGCCTGATCCCAGATCTTTGCTATGGGTCTCTCATGATCTATCTATCTATCTATCTATCTATCTATCATCTATCATCATCTATCATCTATCTACACACACGCACACAAACATTTTATTGCAACATTTTAACAATCTCTGGAGAAAAAAACCTGATAACAGTTCTGGGGCCTCAAGAATTCCTTGCGAAATTCCTCAGGGGTATTTGAAGGTCAAATGCAGCCCAGGGCTTGTTGCTTATAAGGCAATAGAGACTTCACAGAGATGCTGAAATATGGCTGTGATGCTTCAGACCGCTGGCAGCTTGCCATGCCTTTCATGACCCCACCACAAACTTTTCTTGGTGTCCCTTGGAGGCGACCAGATGAAAACTGCTTAGTCTGTACAATACATCCATCACACCAGGTATTTGTCATGCTGCAAAAGCTGCCATTTGGAGCAATGGTAGGTGCTACTGTACAGCTTAGTAAACAGGAAAGATATCTGGCAAAGAAGAAGAGGGGGGAAGAGTGAGATATGTCAAGACAACGAAACCACTAAAGTGGGAGCCACCTAAAGCCAACACCTAAAGTCAACAAACAATAGTAGGCACATATGACAGTATTATTTGTTGGATGCTTAGAGTTCACTCACTTGGGTATTGTGTAATACAGTGGTACCTCGGGTTACAGATACTTCAGGTTACAGACTCTGCTAACCCAGAAATAGTACTTTGGGTTAAGAACTTTGCTTCAGGATGAGAACAGAAAACATGTGACGGCAGCGGGAGGCCCCATTAGCTAAAGTGGTACCTCAGGTTAAGAACAGTTTCAGGTTAAGAATGGACCTCCAGAACAAATTAAATTCTTAACCCGAGGTACCACTGTAATGGTGCACCTAGATATACATACCCTCCAACACCTTGAAAGCAAAAACTGGGGTGCTAGCTTCCTGGATGCCATATTTTCTCTTGTGAGAGAACGGTGGCCATTTTGGACACTGTGATGTCCCACAATTTTGTGCAGCAGTTCCCTCCCCCAAGTGATTTTGGGGTGCCCCAAAATGTGTGTTTTGGAGCACAGTGCTTTTTTGGGGGGGGAGGAATTGTGGTGCGGAGTCACGTGAGATCATGTCACACAAAATGGCTGCCATTCTCTCATGAGGTAAAACGGGATGTCCTGTTTCTTCCAGGTCACCTGTGGGCCACTTGAATCCCCATTTGAGAGAAATGTTGTGGGTTAAAAAAAATAAAATGTCAGGTTGTGGCGCACAGGTAATAGTCAGAAGCAGTCTGACAAATGGAGAGAATCGATTTTCTCCTCAGCCACCATCTTGCTGCAATATCCATTAGGAAAAACTCATTTGCATTGTGGGAATCAGTTTTGTTGACTTTCAAGGGGAAAGGAGATAGCATTTTATGGGAATGATTGTTCCTTATCAGGATGGTGAGGTCAACAGGGAACGGGGATTCCTCACCACCTTGTTTGCTAGGTCCATCCTAATAAACCTGAGTGTGCAAACTTCTTAGCATAAATGGCACTAAATGTCTTCAGAAATGAAACGAATGACACGGCGAGGGCCCCAGCTGAAGGCTATTATGGGTTAAATTGTGATTTATGGTGCCCATGCGCGATCATTTTCTGCCCAGTGACAGCTTCCACATTTCAGTCATGGCACCTTAATGAAGGGCCCTGATAGTATCTCAGAGTCTGCAGCTCTGTAATAGGCCAATTTATACAGCAAATGACACTGGGAGAGTCAGAAGAATGTTTTGTGTAATATTTGATAATGTAATTGACATTCACTCAGGTTTATGAATGTAAATGTTGGGCCATTTGGTCTTCATCGGGGGTCATTTTTCTTCCAATTATCGGGTACCCATAAAAATGAAGGAGCTGAACTTTATCCATACCACAGCAGAGGTATTCCGAAGCATATTCTCCTAGGGAGGAAAACATTGCAAACCTTTACAGAGCTATTTTTCATTTTCTTCAAGATGTCATATTTTCACACTCACTCACTGGAAGGCTGCGAGTACCAAGTAACATAGGCAGCACCTCTGGAAGTTGGCAGGGAAATGGGCTTAAAGGTACCACGTGTTGTAAATGGAAATATTGGCTTTGCCATTTTCTGATGAGTTGACTGGCTGTTTGCGGCAGAAAGAGTGTGACTGCACTGTTAATGCAACCTTCAGAGGTAGCAGTGGCCATGCAAGGGGCAGTGGTATTTAAAGCTGGGTTTCCCAAGCCTTTTCATGCTTCCATAGTCAACTGAAGCCAGTGCTGGATTTATGTATAGTCTAAGTAGGCTGAAGCCTAGGGCCTCTAAATCTAGGGGGCCTCACCAGCCCGCCCACTCCCCAGCGGGCAGTCTCCCCTCTCCCAAAATTGCAAACCCAAGACTTCATGTGAGGGCATGGCAACTCGGGCCTCTAAATCTAGGGGGCATCACCAGCCTGCCATCTCCCCAGTGCCTCAGTCTCCCCTCTCCCAAAACTGCAAACCCAAGACTTCATGCAAGGGCAGCGCAACTCAGGCCCAGCAACTATGAGACTCAGGGCTAGCCAGTGGGGCCCAATTTGAAGCAGTGGGGTGCAACTTGAATTTTTTTTTTTTGGTAGGGCCCCAGTTCACAGCCAAAGTCTGCAAAATCTTAGAGATATAAATAAAATCCATCTAGATTGCCCTGGTGCAGGAGCCCTCTTAGGAGCAGCAAGCAGGGCCCAATTTAGCTAAATTGCTCCAATTGCCTTAAGGTCAGCCCTGATTAAACTGTGCAGGAGTTGGACTGACAAGCCCTGCACCTTCTAGGTCCCTGGTGTCACTATTCAAAGTAAAGACTCAAGGACTTGTTATGGAAATAAGGGGGGGGGCACTTATTGGAAATCAGTTTTGTCACCTCTCCCCCCCCAACCCTGAGACAATGAGCTCAGCCACCTTTTATTCACAGTCGCATAAGCACTACACTACAGCATGGCCATAAAGCTGTACATTCAACCGCTGAAATATACACCCAATATACACCCAATGGAGATTTATGTTACTGCTTTATGAATGAACACTGTGTTTTATAAGTTGATTCTGTATTTTGTGAATTACCTAAGAGCCACCAATAGGGAGCTGTAGAATCTGATAGCTAACCAATTGTGTACTACCAAACAGCAACCACTACTGCTTAAAGCAGGTAACCAGCATGGAATGCTTCAGCTCAGCCTTTGCACTGTTGACTGACACCCCCTGCTGTGCAGATAATGGAGAAAGCTCATAAATTGTATCCCTTCTGGCATCCTGGCCAACTCTATTATGCTGGTGTAAACCCTGGTGCACCAGAAGCCCAGAATAGCAGCAAATAAAATCCGCTCATACGTCAGCGACTGATAAGAACTTGTCAACCAGTTCTTCCAAAGTCTTCCTAAATTATAAAGCTCCAAAATACAGGCCAAAAGAGAACAAGTCTGGGAAGAGCGAGGCATACAATGGGCACCACCAGTGAAAAGGCCCTGCTCCGTGTAGCTCCTGCCCTGTCATTTGATAGGGTGTCCACTTGCCCTCCTTCTTGACATTGGATGCTCTCTATTGGAGTCTCCAGGTCCAGTAAAAAGATCATAAGAAGGGAGAGCAGGGACCTTGAAGTTCCCTGTTAATCAAGCAAGCAAGCAAACAAGCAAGCACACAGGCCACCTTTGTCACAGTCACAGTCAGGATGCCCATGTCCTGGCCAGGCCTGCGCCCAATCTTGTTTTTGTGCAAACTTGTTTGTTCTCAGTAACCAAAATTATATTATCAACATATACAGGCAGAAAAGTTGTTTTCCTTCATTTGCAAGGAATTGTACAAAACAAAGTGGCACTAATAAAGAAAAGTTCCAGGCTGACAACAGAAAGCAAACTAAAAATGCTTTGGCAGTTCATCAGAACTATCCAGCAATATCAAGTTATAGGAAAACTGGTGCTATTAACAGTAATCCTTCTAGTTGGTTAATTGGTTTGGCAACTTCCATGCACATGACATGTGATGCTAATTATTTCCCCAAAGAGGTAAATGATAACTAATCAGAGGCAGATACAGTTGCAAATGGCAACAAAATATCTGTGAAAGGAACAGCAGGTTTGCTCAAGTGTGTTGCAGATAGAAGTACTGTTTGTAATGAAGTGAGAGCAGTAGTTTACTTGCTCGAATTAACAAATAAGAAAGTTTTGAGAATTTAAATTCTAATCGGTCCTGGAGGTTTTATTAAATATGATTAGAAGGGACCAATTGGTAAAAGGTATCCAGGTGGGAACCAAACAGTATAAGTTGAAAGCATTTGCCAATGATTTGGTATTGACTTTACAGGAGCCAGAATCAAGCACCAAAAGAGTATTAGAATTGATTCAAGAATTTGGTCAGGTAGCAGGTTTTAAGTTCAACAAGATGAAAACTAAAGTTTTAGAGAAAAATCTAAATGAGATTGAGAGAGACAAGTTCCAGAAGGAGACAGGATTGACATTGGTTAAGAAAGTGAAATATTTAGGGGTAAATATGACTGCTAAGAATGTGAATTTATTTAAGGATAACTATGAAAAATGTTGGACGGAAGTGAAAAAGGATTTAGAAATATGGTCAAATTTGAAGCTATCATTGCTAGGTCGAATTGCTGTGATTAAAATGAATGTATTGCCAAGAATATTATTTTTGTTTCAAACATTGCAAATTTTGGACAAGATGGACTGTTTCAAGAAGTGGCAGAGAGATATCTCTAGATTTGTCTGGCAGGGCAAGAAGCCTCGTATAAAATTTAAAATATTAACAGATGTTAAAGAGAGAGGTGGATTTGTCCTGCCAGACCTTAAACTTTATTATGAATCAGCCGCATTTTGTTGGCTGAGAGAATGGATGCTTCTTGAAAATACGGATGTGTTGGATTTGGAAGATTTCAATAATGTATTTGGTTGGCATGCATATTTGTGGTATGACAAGGTTAAAGCACATAAATCGTTTAAAAACCATATTGTTAGAAAAGCACTGTTTAATGTTTGGGTAAGATATAAGGATTTGCTAGAAAGCAAAACCCCAAGATGGCTGTCACCAATGGAAGCAAAGGCTCTGAAAAAACTCAATATGGAGGCCAAATGGCCAAAGTATTGTGAAATTTTGGAACAAGAGGGAGACAGATTAAAATTGCAGAGTTTTGAAAAATTGAAAAATAAAGTGCGAGATTGGCTCCATTATTATCAAATAATGGAGGTATATAATGTGGATAAAAAAATAGGTTTCCAAGTGGAAAAATCAAAATTGGAAACAGAATTGTTAGACTCTAAAGTTAAGAATTTGTCAAGAATGTATAACCTGCTGTTGAAATGGAATACTCAAGATGAAACGGTGAAATCTGCTATGATTAAATGGGCACAAGATGTGGGACATAATATTATGATGGCTGACTGGGAACAGTTATGGACCACAGGTATGAAGTTTACGGCATGTAATGCCTTAAAAGAGAACTTAATGAAAATGCTTTATAGGTGGTACATAACACGTCAAGCTTGCAAAAATCTATCATTTGCCTGATAATAAATGTTGGAAATGTAAGGAAACTGAAGGTACTTTCTTTCACCTTTGGTGGACATGCCCAAAGATTAAGGCTTTCTGGGAAACGATCTATAATGAAATGAAAAAGGTATTTAAATATACCCTCTTGAAGAAACCAGAGGCCTTTCTCCTGGGCATGGTCGGCCAATTGGTGTCAAAGAAGGATAGAATTTTTTTTATGTATGCTACGACAGCAGCAAGAATTCTCATTGCAAAGTACTGGAAGACACAAGATCTACCTACCTGGGAAGAATGGCAGATGAAGCTGATGGACTACATGGAGTTGGCGGAAATGACTGGCAGAATCCAAGACCAGGGAGAAGAGTCGGTGGAAGAAGATTGGAAAAAATTTAAAGTATATTTACAGAAATATTGTAAAATTAATGAATGTTAGAAGGATGCTGGAAAGAAGTTATATGACTTTAGCAGAAATGTTATAAAGAATTAAGTATGAATAGATTGACAATGGGCAAAGGTGCAAAACTTAAGGTTAAATTGCGTTAAGATAAATTATGGAACTAAATTTGAGAAAGAGGGAAAGGACTTGCTGGAATAATTAATTGAACTAGAATACAAAAAAGGAGGTGTGAGGAAGTCGAGGAAATAAGCAAATGAAAGATAAGGACATGAAAATACGGGGTCTTTTTTGTTGTTTTTTCTTTTTTTTTCTTCAATTTTTTTAAATGTTTCTGTTTTTTCTTTTTTAATGTTTTGATGTACTGTTGTTGTTTAGTTTTATTGTATTCTCTTTTGTTTTTGAGGTTTTGTAATTGTTCACTGCTTGCTTTTCTTTTTTTTGTAATTCTTAAACTCTAATAAATATCTTTTTTTTAAAAAAAGAGAATTTAAATTCTAGATTAAAACTGATTACTTAATTGAGAAGGGGATTATAACCAAAACACTGGGGCTTAATTTGAATAGTAGAGTGCCTGGTATCTGGTGGGCAATCTCATCCTTTATTATCTCATCTGTAGCTGCAGACCAAAGCACTCATCAGGAAAGCTATGAGATTCAGGTGAGGGTCAGATGCCTTGTCAATCCCAGCAGGTATATAAGAGGCCTTCGCCCTGGCCAGGCCTTCACCATGACTGCTGAGGTCCACGGATGGCTGAATGTGTCCAATGCATAACTGTCAACTTTCTCCTTTTCTTGCAAGGAATCCTATTTGGAATAAGGGAATTTCCCTTAAAAAAAGGACTACTTTGACAGCTATGGTCCAATGCAATGCAAACCCAGCATGGTTCTGAATGCACATTGCCCGTGTTGGTCTCTCAAAAGCTAGGAGAACAGCATTGGATGGGTAGATTAAGGATGCCAATCCTTACTCACAAATGTGGTTGGGGAGAGTGTTGGGCAAATGGCGGGCCACCAAAGAAAAGTCCCTCCTCAGAGGCTGATTTAGGGGAGCATGACCAGTTCAGTCGCACTGGGCACGGAGCCTCTGGGGTGCTGCAAGTATGTTTTACAATGGAGTGTGAGTGGTGGAGGGGCACAAAATTTTAGCATTGCATGGGGCGCCACTGAAATCTGAGACCCCCAAGGTCAACCACTGCCCTCCTCCAGGTTTACCCACCACCTGTGAGCAACCGGGGGGGGGGGGCTTTTCAATTCAGTGCCCCATTTGTCAAACACTCTCCTCAATCAGATTTGTGAGGAGGGATAGGGAGGCAGAAGACTGTTCAGCCCCAAATGGAATCGGAATGGAACCCATCTGAACACTGACGTTCCTGCTTGATGTTCAGTTTCTGCCTATTCGAGTAGGCCAAATTCCACCCACAGGTCTGATTCCTTTACCCCTTACCTGTCAGTTTGCATTTCTTTGTGCAGAAAGTATTGATTTGATGTGTAGAGATCTTTCCCATCCTACTTAATTCAAGAGGGTTCTGGAAGCTTCTGTGTGTGAAACAAACAAACAGAAGGTTCATGATGTTTGGGTTATTCCTTCCGAGAAGCTGAATACAGCTGGCTTAAACTGGTTCTCTTATCTTTTTCTGTCAAGGTCATGCTGATTATAAATATAGGCCAGAAGGGGCCTGGGTTTCACTTTCTCTTTCTATCTCTTTTCCTTCTGGTGTGGTGTTCTGTACATAGTATGCTTAGTGTTTAAGTTTAGACTTATTATAAGTTATTGTAAGTTTAAGTTCAGTCTGCTGCAACTGGATTTCTTATGGACAGTGCCAATCCTGAATGTATTGGATTTGTGACCATTATGCTCATTTGCCTTCAGTAGCAGTAAAGCTCTGCTGGATGAAATATTAATTGCCTCTGGTCTGTTCATTGGGAATCCTGCAATGTGATTTTACTCTGCTAACTATATATTGGAGTTCTGCTCCGGATCAACGTTGAGTAGAATTCCATGACATCCTATCACCCCTTATCCCTTAACTCATAGGACAAAGCCACTGTGTGGGTCAGGCTGGCAGCCGCGCCTCATGGTGGAAGGCTCTGAGAAGTGTGAACTTTGAAGGATAACGGTGCTTCAGTTCTCGTATTGTTTCAGAAAGTAGGATTGCCTTTAAGTTAGAACGGAGCCCAATTTCTCCCCCATCTGTTTGGAAATAGCTTCCACTGAAATGCAACATAAGCACTGCAACTGACAATAAACCAATAAGCAGAGTGCTTATTGGTTCAAGCTCCCTTCTGTGCTTTTGACAATGAATGCTAACATAAGACTATTCAGGCAAATTCTCCCTATGGGTTCCCTAAATGTGACATTCCCCTCTTTTCCATTTCAAATACCTGCAGATCATCCAGTAAGGGGTTTTTTTCTGATGAGCTGCTCTGTCTTAAATGAAGGCACTAATGTGCATGTCTCATGGTTTTTATTTACCAGAAGTCGCTTTCTATGATTTACAAGTGATGGAAACACAGTGCCTAAAGATGGGAAGCAAATGAATACAAATTTTGCCCCAAAGCATCACTTGTTAAAAGTGTTTTCCTCTACCAGCCCTCCTAAAATGTACAGATGAGGAAGAGAAATGAAGTTAAAAAAGCAAGGTAACTAAAGAGAATTCTAAAGCACGAATTAAAGCAAAGGGAAACTTATTTTGAGTTTAATTCCCCCCCTAGCTTTTCAAATGCACTTAAGAGACAGGGGGGAAAAGGAGAAGTAACAGGAAAGGAGTGAATTAGGCCACAAAGTAAAGCATATTTTCAGTTTAAGTGCTCCCCCCCATCTTTGGGGGTTTGGAAATAAATGCGGACTGGGCCTCTGAGCAAGGTTTTAGGAGTGGGGAGGGGTACAAATACCTAAAGGAGGAGGAGGAGGAAGAGAGAATCCTGCTGTCCTGGCCAAATGGTTACATATTCACAACATAATAATAATATTATTATTATTAATAATAATTTATTATTTAAACCCTGCCCATCTGGATGGGCTTCCCCAGCCACTCTGGGCGGCTTCCCCCCAAAAAATTAAAATACTGTAATACATCGAACATTTAAAGCTTCCCTAAACAGGGCTGCCTTCAGATGTCTTCTAAAAGTCTGGTGGTAGTTGTTCTCTTTGACATCTGGTGGGAGGGCGTTCCACAGGGGGGGCGCCACTACCGAGAAGGCCCTCTGCCTGGTTCCCTGTAACTTGGCTTCTCACAGTGAGGGAACCGCCAGAAGGCCCTTGGTGCTGGACCTCAGTGTCCGGGTAGAATGATGGGGGTGGAGATGCTCCTTCAGGTATACTGGACCGAGGCCGTTTAGGGCTTTAAAGGTCAGCACCAACACTTTGAATTGTGCTCGGAAACGTACTGGGAGCCAATGTAGGTCTTTCAAGACCGGTGTTATGTGGTCTTGGCGGCCGCTCCCAGTCACCAGACTAGCTGGAACACCCAAACAGTAGGGTTTGGATGCGAAGCTGGTGCCAAATATATTGCTCTGCTTTCCTTTGGACCACATCAGGAAGGCAAAGAAAGAGGGTGTTTGAAGGGTAATGGCCCGGGCAACCCAGGACCTCCATGCACACAGCCCAGGCTTGCACCCAATGGTGGAGGAAGGGGGGACGGTGGGGTAGTCTGACCCGGGTGCCATCTCTGATGGGGGGTGACAAGAAGGCACCCTGCGGGGGGCTCACTCCACTGCCATCGGCCTGCCACAGCCGCTTGCGGAGGATCCTCTGCCTGTGGTTGCACCCTCTGCCATCATCTGTATGGTGCTTGAGCGGCGCCATTGGCAAACCACCAGGTGCCACATGCGCGGCAGCGCTACATATGGCGCTGCACATGCACCCTACATACATTATACACACATGTGCCGTACATAGCAGCACGCATGCATGCTCTCTACATAGCGGTGCCATGCATGCGCAGTATGTACGGTGCACGCACATGCGCCACCGGCGGTTTGCCCCATCTCCTCGCATCAGGTGCTGGTTCTCCTTTCTTCGCCCCTGTTTGCTCCCCAGGGAAGTCACTTCCATGCTGAAAACCCAGTGATTTGACTTCACGCCCAGAGGCATACTCCATTGTCTCTTGAGATACCAGACAGATACCAACAGCAAGGTTTGAGTTCTTTGTTTTGTTCCAGGTTGAGAAATCATAGATATCAGAGTTGAAAAGGACCTCTGTGATCATCTAGGGCAAGAAATCTGGAGTGAGAGCTGTCGCTTCCTCACAATTACATTTAAAGGACATTTGTGTCACTTTAACAGCCACGCTTTCCCCCCAAATTATGCTGAGAGCTGCTGTTCCCAGAACCCTTAACAGTCTCTAGTTCTCAGGGTTCTTTGTGAGTTGGAATGCCATGGCTGCTGCTACAGAAATTACGGGGGGTGGGCACATCTTTAAAGTTAAATGTCACAAATATTATGCCGGAATGTATCCTTTCAACTTGACAGCTTAGGGAAGTTACCTAGCTTTAAAAATAATATAAAATCATCTCCTTTGCCAGTTTCCTCCATTCCAAAGCTATTTTCCCCTTGAAAAGGGACTCCAGGAAGTTTCCAGAGGTGACAATTGCTGGGCTCATTGTTAGCCAAGGGAAGCCAAATCTCATCACCTGACTTGCCTCAGGCTCCAGACATGCAAAGGAAGTTCTATTGTACTTTTGGGTGGTGGGTACTTAAGACATATTTGTCTATGCTAATCTTATACCTGAGTCTTCCCCTGCCATGTCTGCTTATGCTAATCTTGTACCAAGGACTTGTCTGGACATGTTTGTCAAGGTTAACCCCTCCCCTTTTGTGACATGTCAGTGATGTAGCAATAATGCTGTACGAACTGTATTCTGGGATATGGTGGGAAAGTTTTAAAAGTCTTTGTCACCCCATCCTCGGGGTTCAAATTTCCTCTTTGAACCTATTGCGCAATAAAATTTGGTCTACAGCTATTTGCTCCGGTTGGTGGCTGGAATCCTTCCTTTATTCCGCAGGGAGCCGTGGGCTCTGCCCAAAGAGTTGGGTGACTGAGCAGCCTCACACCTAGATTTTTCCGTAACACTGCTGAAGTCTGAAGGAGCGTCTCCACCCCCATCGTTCTACCCGGACACTGAGGTTCAGCACCGAGGGCCTTCTGGCGGTTCCCTCACTGCGAGAAGCGAGGTTACAGGGAACCAGGCAGAGGGCCTTCTCAGTAGTGGCACCCGCCCTGTGGAACGCCCTCCCACCAGATGCCAAAGAGAACAACAACTACCAGACTTTTAGAAGACATCTGAAGGCAGCCCTGTTTAGGGAAGCTTTTAATGTTTGATGTATTACAGTATTTTAATATTTTTTTTGGAAGCCGCCCAGAGTGGCTGGGGAAGCCCATCCAGATGGGTGGGGTATAAATAATAAATCATCATCATCATCATCATCATTATTAGTGCTTTAAATGCATGTTGTAGATGTGGCCAGTATCCCTGAGAAACGACTGAAAAACAAGTCCCTCATAATCTGAGGCAGTTTGTACCACTGTAAACAGCTCATAGTCAGTGCTGGATTTAGGCAGTTCCCCCGCACAGGGCACTGAGCTGAGTGGGGGCAAAATAATAAAAAATAAAAAAATGAATTATTGTGAAAATAAGAAATATGAGGGAGACAAAAAAAATTGTCCTCACTCAGAGCATCACATTACCCAATCTGCCCTTGCTCATATCCCCAGCAAGTTCTTCCTAATGCTGTTCAGCCACAGAACAGATTGCCTCATAAGGGAGTTTGGGGATCAAACGCATAATGCTCCCATTATGAATGGATGGATTGATTCACTATCAAACAGCTCTCTGCCTGCTGCTCAGTACAACTAGAATCGTAGAATGGTAGAGTTGGAAAGGATCCCACGAGTCACCTAGTCCAACCCCCTGCAACACAGGAATCTCAACATGAAGTCCCCCATCCAATTTGAAACCAGGCTGGGCCCTGCTTAGCTTCGCAAATGTGCTGGCAGTTTTATCGCTGCACCACTAGGATGTTCTTGCAGCTGCCACTTTAAAGGGAGATTTGCACCATTGGGCAGATGAATAGCTTTGCCCTCCCATTTCTGCATAAGGAATCACTGTAAGAAGGATAGGAGCAGGTCAATTTATCTTTTTTTTGGAGGAGGTGGTCAGTTGGCAACTCTATCTTTTAGATCCAACCAGATTTATAAATAAAAGCTGACATAATCACATTCCTTGAAATGTTAGATAAGAACAAGCACAGAGGAAAGTCAGCGTAAAAGGGATCATTGTGAAAAGGCCAAACTAGTAATTAAGATATGCCAATGAAACGGAAAAGGTTTTCTTAAAATAAACAAGTCCTCGGCTGCAATCCTATATTCATTTCCCTGGGGGGAAGTCCTGTCGAACTCAAGATATTTCTTATTCAATATATATAGGATTGCATTGTTAGCCTCCCTGTGAAAAACAGCGAGCGAGGGGACTCTGAGACTTTCTCACTCTGCTTTTCACTCTTCGCTCATTCCAAATTCATTTACAAGTGCAACTCAGGAGAATAAATGAGCTTGGAAATTGTGTTTATATATACACACACACACACACACACACACACACACACACACACATAAACGGAGCCGTTACTGGTTTGTTGAATTCTTATTGTGCCAGAATCAATTGTGTTAATTTTGAGAAACGGCAGCAAAAACCAACATTTTGACAGAATCAAGGCTATCCCTTATCACCAATTTTGTTTGACAAGCTCACCGAAAGCTGGGCAGTAAGGAGGAGGTCAGATAAACAGATTAAAGCACCCAGGGTTTCTCAAACTAGGGTCTACAGACCCATCATCCCTAGCTAGCAGGACCAGTGGTCAAGGATGATGGGAATTGTAGTCCAAAAACAGCAGGAGACCCAAGTTTGGGAAACACTGTAAGACAGTGCTGAACTAGATGGATCAATGATGGTTTGAGGGATCTTCCTATATACTTTGTTTCCCCCCATTCTCTGAAAAATCATGAAAAATGCCCCCACCCCTGATTTTCAGCCTGAAAACAGGCTTCCAAAAGTGAGGGAGGAGTTGTTGCAGCATCAGTATCCTATTACATCTCCATTTTGTTTCTCCTGTCCACACTCCTTCCAATCAATAGGAAAAGCATTTTTCTTTTCTCAAACGCAACAACTGAATTTGCTGGGCCAGTTCATTCTGAATCTGTTTAAGCGTGTTTGTAAACTTCCCCAGTTGTGTAAGGAAAAATGCCCTTTAATAGACTCTTAGGTGTTGGCTCCAAGTGCACATGGTGTGTGTGTGTGTGTGTGTGTGTGTGTGTGGCGGGGGGAAAACACAAGCATTTAAAAAGCTGTCACTCAGTAAATTGAGCTTTGAGAAGATGTATGATTTTCCGGTTCCTCATCATTGCTTTTTAGCATCTGTGGAAGATTTAACTCGACATCTATCATCTTGTTATAGACAGACAATGCTGCACTTGACAACTAGTGGCTTCACTGAAATGTGCATGGCATTGCCTTTATACAAGATGCCTTAATACGTTAATCCTCAAAGCCTCCTTTTGGAGGGATGGGCCCTCAAACAACATTAGAAGGCGCTAAACTCCGGTCTGTTGAGTGTGTGGGGAGCAGTGCTGAGGAACTCCAGCACTTAATTTAAGCCTAACAGGTTCTTCTGTAGGTAGATAATTGTAACCTGCCCTTTGACCTTAAGGTGAAAAGTGAATGAGTAAGGAATCTAAATGTCATCACCACCATTTGAATGTCTTCCCTGCTCTTCTTGCTGGATTTGGACTGGGAAGGTGTGGGCAGGGACAACCAGATTGCATCGACCTTTTCTGCAGACTGAACCATACATAGGCGTACAGAGCAGGAGTCAGCAAACTTTTACAGCAGGGGGCTGGCCCACTGGTCCACCTTGTGGGGGGCGGACTATATATTTTTTTTGGGGGGGGAGAGAACGAATTCCTATGCCCCACAAATAACCCAGAGATGCTGTCAGGGGTTCAGGAGCAGAGGCAAGGGCAAGGGAGGAAACAGAGAGCGAGGGGGAGGAGGCAGAAGAAAAGATGAGTGATGACGACGACCCGAGATCTCCGAGTCTTTCCAGTGAATCAGAAGATCTACAGAAAGGAGCACCAGTGGCCAGGGCAAGGGGGAGCCTAGGGGACACCCCAGGAAGATAGAGCCAGAGGGGACTCAGAGGAGCAGCTGGAA